AAAAAAAATCAATTAAGTAAATACTTGGAAATTATTTTTCACATAAAACACGCCCGCAACCCGTGTACGGGTATATTTCAGAATTAATTTGAGTTTTCTAGAAGTGAATAATACTCTTTCATGAATGTCTCAAAATCCTGGCGCCAGAATTTCGTTATTTTTGTACGTGACGTCAGCTGAACGTTACTAGTAAACAACTGCAAATATTCAGCGTGATCGGATGACGTGTCGCCATTTTGTGCACGATTATTCAAGTCTCGTGAAAATTTCTTTACGAAAAAATGTCAACCTGAGAAAAACGTACGGAGCAGCGGGCAGTGATAAAATTATGTGCGATGTCTGGAATGACTCCGACTGATACCTGGACGTTTTTGAATCAGAAGGAGAGTGTTCATAATTGTTCTAGGACACTTGTGTTTGACTGGCACAAGCGTTTTAGGGAAGGTCAAACAGGAATTACCGATATTGCACGAAGCGGAAGACCGGGTAACGATCAGCGCTCAATCCAAGATGTGAAGGACGTCATCGCCAAAGATCGGAGAAAGTCGATTGATCATATCGCATACACCGTCGATCTTTGTCATGGAACTGTACATAAGATAGTGACGAAGGATTTAAACATGAATAAGGTATGCGCCCGCTGGGTACCTAGTTTCTTACAGATGGAAACAAAGCAACCCGTGTAGACGCTTCCCGAGAATTTTTACGGCGATATGATAGATACGGCGAACGATTCCTAAGGCGTATTATCGCTACGGATGAGAAGTGGGTGAACTTTTACGACCCGGAGAGTAAACGAGAGTCGATGGTGTGGAAGCGACCTTCATCACCTCCCCCGAAGAAGGCGAAAACCTGCAAGTCGGCGAAGAAAGTTATGTATATTTTCTTCATGGATTGCCAGGGTATGCTGTTGCAACATGCGGTGCCAAGATCGGCGACAGTCAACAAAGAGTACTATCAAAAGGTAAGCATTAATTATGTCGCATGAAATGTTTTTACTAAATTTCTATGTTTATTTAAATGTAAGGTGAAAAGTGTATAAAATATAACAAAAGTGAAAGAAACTATTATTTTTATAATTTGCCGCATTTGTGGTAGTTTCAAATAAAATGAATTTGTTATTAACAGGTTGTGCGGAGGGATCTAACAAACGCTATCAGGAAAAAGCGAGCAGGGTGCGACATCGAAAATTTAATTTCTCATCAAGATAACGCTCCAGCACACCGCGCAGACAAGACACTCCTTACTATTGACTTCTTAGGATATGAGCGGCTATGTCATCCCCCATTATAGCCCCGATCTCGCCCCCTTAGACTTTTGTGTTTTCCCTAGACTGAAAGCAGATTTGAGGGGTCGGAGGTTTGATACAGAAGATGAGATCAAATATGCTATGAGGTCCGCAATAAGAAGTTACACTCCAGAGTGGTATGCAGACATTTACCGGAAGTGGGTACAGCGGCACAGGAAGTGTATTGAACACAATAGGGACTTTTTTGAAAAAGCATGAACGTGACGTGACGGTAAGTTGTTTCTGGAATATGAACGTCACCTGAACGTCGTTAGCGTCGTCGACATCGCCGAAGTGCTCCGTATGTGACATAGTGTGTAACTTTAACGGGGTGTTAAATATGTGTAACATTTATGAAAATCATTGACTCTTATATATTCATGCAGCGATTTTTCTAAATTTTAATGTGAAATATGTCATTATAAAAACATACACAAAATAACAAAGTTATCGTAAGAGTCCGGGAACTTTTTGACTATACCTCGTATAACTCTTACATTTAACCAAACTATATATAGTTATCTTAAATGAAGTATATAGTTTGATGAACGCCTGTCTTCATGTTTTGGGGTTATGTAGAGTCAAGGCCAAGATCGCTATCACTTAAAGTTGAAAATCAGTTAATAATCAATAACTAGAGTAAGGAATGTAAATTGGTGTAAAGCAATACTTTATAAAGACCTTGCATGTGATGGCTTTTATGTCACCTCGAGTCAAGGTCACTGTAACTTAAAATAGAAAATCAGTTTTTGGTCAATAACAAGATCTTGGAATGAAACATTTCAATTAAATGTGGTGTTAAGTAATCTTCATTGAACGCCGCCTTCCTTGTTGATCTGGTTTATTAAATTATAGGGAAGATATTGTTGTTTGTTACTTTTGGGAACATCTCCTTGGACTTGCTTTTGGGTCTCATAGAATCGAGATCAAAGCTATTGTTACTAGAATTTCAAATCATTGGAATGAGTTGTTTTTTATGAAACTTGATGTTAACTAAGCTTATGTGAGGGGCCACACTTAAGATAGCCTTTGGGACATAGTTATTGTTACTAAAATTGAAAAGTGCCCTCCGATCAATAACTAAATTTATTATGATATATTTTTTATTATTATCCCATTGTGCCAGCCCGCATAGCTCAATCGGTTAGAGCGCGAGACTTGTAATCCCGATACTATGAATTCGACTCCCGGGCTTGCCAAATAAAGTTCGGATGAGACTATAAATCGAGGTCCTGTGTATGAGTGTTTAAACACTTGACACGTTAAAGAACCCGGGGAAGCTTCTGGAATTGTTGCATCTTTCTGTATGAGTCTCTTGCTCTATCCTCCAAAATATAAAATGACTGATACTCTTTTGGAGGACTCGCCCATATTGGCAACCAGTGGCGAGTATAAATAAACTCAAATACACACACACACCAGGATAATGAAGATAATTTGAACTTCTCTTCTACTATTTTAATAAAATACTAACTTATAACATCTTTTTCATTTTTAGTCTGATTTACATAGCGTGTAGCACATACTCACATTATACGTCAACGTTGCTTGTATTTGTATTCCAACAATCGGAAATGAAACCTCGTTTTGTGGCATTGCAATGTTTGTTATCTTATTTTCTTTCTTTTTTTTAAGTAATTAGCGAAACAGCGATTAGATAGTTTGGGTTTAAAATTTATAAATTGCACATCAAAAAAGCTTTTAATTACAAACAATCTTCTTCAAAAATTGCAAAACGGGTTTATTCACCAATTAAAGATAGATACAGATGATTAACGCAGTTGCAAATTCTGTAAAATCTATGCAGAATTACCATATATTAGATTTCTGATTAAAGATAGAAGCTGCACATTTGTAGATAACTGTCAGTAAATGATTGATAAATATGTTTAAAATTTACTAAAACGTTATCTAAAATGACCCTAACTGTTATATATTACCACATCTATTCTGCATTTAGACGTACATTTACGTTATATAAATAAAAAACGCATTTACAACGCAAGAAATTTATTTAAGTTCAAATGCCTGATTTTTTTTAAAAGCAAGTGAAACTTTAACTCTAATGCCTTTACAATGTGAAAAACATATATTTGGAAAGTACTTAAGCTTCTTATTTAATTTTACAAACATATAAAGATCAACCAATTAGATAGGTATTTTGATTATTAATATCACCCACTGTTATTTGTTCTTCAAAATCCATTTCTCGTGTTAACTAGTTCAATCACAGTTAAATTGATCTTCAAAATGTAAACAAAAAATGAAAATTAGGTAATAAAAATGATTTAAAATTAAGAACTCAAGTTAACGTGCCGAATACAAAAATAAATCACATTTAAATCTAATCTATAACTATGAAAATAAAAATAGAACAGCTTTACAGCGAATAGTTGTGTTTTTACCGAATTCATCAGAATGTCCGTATTTTTCCAAAGTTCAATAACTTAATAATTGAGATGTGAAGTAACTATGCAAGAATAAATTATATTCAAATTTAATCTATTATAAAAATGATAATGGAACAGCTTTGCAGCAAAATGTTGTGTTTTACCGAATGCATCAGAATGTCCGTATTTTTCCTAACTTCTATAACTTAATAATTGAGATGTTAAGAAGTAACTATGCAATGACCACTTATGTTATTCGTGGTAAAAGTGTTAGTTTTGATCTCGTACATTGATGCTCTTTTAATGTAAATTGAATAAAATGTAATGCCAACTGGACCCGTCTTCTATATTTAGTATTAATTTCCTTTAAAATCTGTTTTTTTAAATCATTTACTTGTGCTTCACACATGCATTTAACAACATTTATAAATCATTCGGACCAGCTGATATTTGTCGGAACGTTTTGAATAAATCTTTAAGTATATAATGTGTAAACATGAACTCTTTACCTCTAAAAAATCCGTCTGCAGAGAGTTTGACCTGTCGCTAGCCGTTGGATTAAAACCAGATTATCAGTATCGTAATCGTCAAACTGTTGAAATACTATCAAAACCAGATTTGCATTTCAATCTCGGAGTCGATTTTCTCCCTTTTTCCATGACAACAACCAAGTGCAGGCTTCATTTAGATAATATTCTTATATTTGGACAAACATTATAATGTTGCTTTCAATTAAGTAATAACATATGTAGATGTGTATTTCGCACAATACGACTTGCGTAATCAGCGTTGCTTTTTAAGTACTTTAACGTGCATTCGAAGCTTTTTTCTTTCTTACTTTGAAATTATCAGCATAAATAAGGAAATAAAATGTAATAAAGGTATACAAAACAACAACTAAAACCTATCAATATTGATCCTCAAACACCTGCAGAATATATTTCCTTTCTAATCAGATAGTAGATAGTTTCTTTTATATTTGTTCACAAATGAAGAGTTTGTTATGGCCGCAGGAAGTATCATCCCAGTTGTTGTTCCAATAACCCATATATACACAATATGCACCAAGTGGTTCAAATGGAGCCCAGGACTGTGAATATCAAATATCAAAAATAAAGTTAAAATTAAATGTATTGACTAACTATGCAAACAACTTCTTAAAGTATGCAATAACCAGAACAAAGTTAGTTGATATTACAAACGTAAAACAAAATGTTTTCTTATTGTTATGAAAATATTTGTAAAATTTAATAACGTTAAAATCTAGTATGTTATAAGCATCTCTAAAAACTGACCGAAACATTTCGTTACAAAATATTTGTTCTTTAGCTATATACTTTGTTCTTTGTATCCCTTTGGTAATAAGAAAAAAAACGTAGAAATTTACAGTTTTACTTCACCCTTTAAAGTTGTACATTGTTCCGATGCTACATACGAATAACACAAACGTGTCAAAAAAAAATGAAAATACATAGTATATAACCCCTATATTTATTTCTTAACCGCATGTTTTGACAGTTAATCAAAAAAATAGTTTTGTCTTATGCTTACATGCTTACATTTGATTAACAACTTTATACATGATACCATTACAATTTAGAAACATTGTTTAGTGAACTTTTGTTCTTTCTCACAAGATATGTTTTGACAAAACAAAAACAAACTAAGTAAATAATAAGAAGTAAATACATCTAAACGATTAATAAACAAAGAAGTACAAAGTTTATACAAGATATTGAATGAGTGAAGAATTAATAATAAATTTATTGAACAGGTTGAAGAAAATCATATTATGCGAGCCTCTGGCGAGCATCATATTGTTTTATGCAACGAGTTTAATAAATCAACACTCAATATAAGAACGTTAAAGTGTTTAAAAGAGTCATTTTTATTGACGCTCCTATAACGTAACGTAAACATAAGCGCACTTTAAAATAACGCTATCATTTGTATATCGCAAATGACTTCACGTCAAAGTGTTATTGCACTAGTGAAATATCGTTTTTATTTCTTTGGGTCGTCAGACCAAGAAATAAGGTAGCGAAATTTCAGACCCTGATATGCTTATTTGCAAAATCTGCAAGTAGTCCATCCATCACAAACTCCTAAAAGCCATTACTTTCCTTTATTAGTATACTCACGCCGACAAATTAAGGTTAGATTACTGCATAAAGATTTTCAAACGACAGGCGCTTTGATTTTTAAAAACTTCTCAGGGAAGATAGAATAGTTCCTGATTGGTCGAATATTTCTAATATATTGTAATTCTTTAATATTACACAAATTACTGGTAATACATTCAAATAATTTTGTTACGCGGATGAATATCATTTTAATCAATGAAAATTGCTCGGCCTTTTCCGAAAAGCTTCGAATTATTCTGATCGCCTAAATGAACATTAATTTTGTTATTTAGACTTTCTGAAAAATAAAGTAAGGGAATTCTAGTTAACCGAGTCTTAGCAATGCTATGAAAAGTCAAGTTAATCGAGGCTTAGCAACGCCATGGAAGTTTTCATCATTAGTCGAGCCTTAGCCATGGAAGTTCTAATCAATCGAGGTTTAGCAACGCGGTAAAAGATCTAGTTAGCCGAGGCTTAGCAATGTCATGGAAGGTCTAGTTAATCGAGGCATAGTAACGCTATGAAAAATTCTATTTATTATGGCTTAACAACTCCACAGAAATTGAAAGTTCTCTTTAACCGACACAAAACAACCGTCATTTTTCTAGCTTTTCTAGTCTTAATGGCGTCATTATAAGACGTGACACGACAAACGGTTTCTATATCTAATGAAAAAATTTAATACATTACTTGGAATCCAGAATCAGCTGTTCGGCCATCAATCCATTGGCAATTTGTACCAAAAGTACAGGTCATTCCAATCCAATGATCTAAGTCTAGAGACAAAATATCATTTATGATTAATTAAGATTAAACAAATCACAATTTAGAGATTTCTATAATCATGCTGTGCTGGAAGAAACTTTAATAACAAAAAACATCTGAAGAGCAAATCTCGGTCATAATATTGTACCATAAAATGTATTTTTCATATTAAATTGCTGTTTTAATGAAGTAAATAGAACAAAAGTTATCGTTATTAATTAGAAAGTAAGCTTAATGTGTTTATGGCATACTAAGACGGCTTCTTTACATCTTTTGTATCGATTCTTTTATAAATTCTAGGTTTTAAAGTTGTGTGGAACATTCAAAATATTTATTCGAGTGATAGTGTTAGGATCATTTTCATATCGTTTATTCTTATGCTTTTCACCTTGATTATTGTATAGTGAAATCAAAGTGTCCATTTCTAATTGACTATCAATTATCACCAATCTTGCAGATGCATCTTCACAGATTGCCTGAAAAATATGTTTCTACACGTGTGATATATATACTTAAACCAACATTTTATATGAAGAATAGGCCTTAATTATAAAAAAAACTGACCACGCTCATGTAAAAGCACTTAGTTGCTTTTTTAAAAGAAATCTTTACAGACAAGGATCATATTCAGAAAACATGGTTCCAGTGATAATATCATTAAAATTGATAAAAAAATCATACTAAAAAATAACTCTTATAAAAGTTGGCACTTATCGACAAGTTTAAATCATGTGACACATTTATCTGCCATTTAGGAATTTATATAAATGAATCTGACAAAATTCTAACATCTGCCGTAATACCAAAATCTTATATAAATTAATAAGCATTGTACGAACGTCTTCACAATGTGCTACCTTTACGCTTCAATTCTTAATATTCAGTGCATCAAGCACGCTCTAAATCGATAAAGAAGACAATTATTTAACATATGTTTGACTGAAAGATAATGTGCCTATATATTAAACAGCAAAACCAGTTCTAACCTTTGCCGTGTTCCAATCGGCGGACACTGTACTCAAGTGATAGCCATTGACTGGAATAAAGGTAAAAAAACCGATCAATATGCAAGATGTGATATATAGATGGTTCCTTTATCTTATCGCATTCCTTAAAGTGTCCAGCCTAAATAAGAGACAAGACATACTTGTAATTGTTAATCATGTAATTGAGTTGTAGACAAAAACTATGTTATCAAATAGAATAGAGAATATCAGAATCCCTAAAAAAAGTCCAACACAACAAAATTGAAAATGTTGCAGGCTCGTTTTTTCTTGGAGTTTATCTATTTAAGCAACTCTAAAGAGATTCACAAACCAAGACTCATAGAAAATAGTTTCTTACAAAATTCATCTGGTGTACTACTCAATTAAAGCAAATAATCAGAAATACATCGACATTCTTTTTGCTTTGCTTAGCCGGATGTTTTGGTGATTTGTGGTGAATTTTCATAATTATGATATGATACTCGAAAAAATAGAGCAGGCAAATGAGCTGAAATTTTGCACACAAGTTCAAGTCAAGACAAATGAAAACAAAATATCTAACAAAACAAACTATTTTCAGTCCCGTATTGTCAAAAAACCTTAGTCGAGTCCTTTTAAGTAAGATAGTAATGTACCAAACGCCATGCATGCTCCAGCGTTGCAACCATGATTTTCGAGATCTGACCCTTGACATTGCTCTCCTCCGTTGCTAGGTGACGGGTTGTTGCAAATCCTTGACCTTGACATTGTTCCATCTTCACATGTCACGGAACACGAGCCCCAGTTCAGCCAATTACCCCAGGACCCATCAACTTTTTATTCAATATAAAATGAATGAAAAACGTTTTTTAATAAAGTCATGCAATTCCGTCATGATAGACGTTAACAATGCTAAGGTTTTGCGGAAAAGAAAAGCAGAAAACTTTTAAAAAAAGGGAATTGTCCTTATCTATTTTAAGGGACATTTAATTAGGATTCTGAAACAAATATTTTGCCCTTCATTATAAAGGCAAAAAATAACTTTAAATGTTTATATCATATTTTAAGAGCATGTTAAAGACTAATTACCCTGAGAAAATAGCACTGAATAAAAATTATTCGTCACTAACGGAGTAAAATGAACACGAGGCAGTATTTTGACTTCCACACACAATACATAATCAGATTAACAATACCTATTAACGGAAAACAACAATAAATAATAATTGAGATTTTTAGGTAATGAGCCATTTTATTGAAATGGTTACAGAACATCAAGTACAAAAAAGCTTTTGGGAAATGAAAATAAAAGCTTTTTAGGTCTTAAGGGGTCTCTAAAATAATGATATTGTTTGATACATTTACTTTATAATCCATTTCTGATAAAACTTGAAAGTTCCTTAGTCCGGACAAACACTGTAATGATTTAGATTTTTAAAACATGATAAACAAGATCCACAAGGAAAGGCAGCGTTCAATAAACGCAACAACACCCACAGGACCAGCAACAAGAACCAGTGGCAAGGAGCCCAGGTGGAGCCCATACAAACACAGGACAGGGCACAAGGTTTTATAACTGTTTCCATGTTGTCGTCGTGTCCTCCTGTTTTACACTTACTACACAATTGTTTTGACTAAAGATGCATAGTTAGTATTTATCAAACTATTTTTCACTGATGTTGTCAGTTATCTTCAAAATAAATTTAAAATTCTCTTTCTTTTTTTTTCTTCAGAAATTATTTTTTTCCGTATACATACACTGGTACAAAAACTAGCAATTATGTGCGTTAGTTGTATAATTGATTTCTGTCAGTTTATATGAAAGTTATTCAATACAGTTATCCAATCATGTCTTGTAATTATCAAATTACGTAATTTATTATACTGGAAGAGTACGCATTGTTTCATAAATGACTTCGAATTAAGTATCCAGCTATTTAGGGATTTCAACGCTCGCTTTGACATAGATTAGACATATAAAAGACCTGAAAATTTCTTAAAAACATACAGTCCTCATATCAAAAGAAACTTACCAATATATGCGTAGACTGACCAGCCGTCGTCTGCTATTGAACTTTCCGGATAAAGGTTACTAAGTTCGCATATTTGATCATTTTTGTGATAGTTGAACGACTTGAAATGCGCATTGTGTTGAAATTGAATGGAACATTTCAACAACGACCGTACATTTCGTATTTCTAGTATTCCAGCATTCCTCCCGTTAGATGTAAAACGTTTGATCTTTTCACAAAAGTACGGCTCAAAGAGCAACGATAATGCAGCAAATATAACTAACGTCTGAAATAGTGTCTTCATTTTGTCCTCATCTAAAATTTCTCATAATAACAAACACTTACTATAAGAAAACTAGTAATGTTCTTACTTTTATGCCATATAAAATATACTTAAATAGTTTTTCACTCAAACTTACCGTCCCGGGAAAATAAATTCAAAACAAATATTTTCTATTTATACGGACAATGAAACCACGAACTGATTCGTATCAGCACAACATGCAAGTTCAAGCCGTTTAGTATGTTTGCTTTGTTTATTGACATAGCGAATGGTTTCTAATTTGCAAAAGTTGCAATATCTTTCAAAGGAAATACTTTGTTTAATATTATGGAAACATATCAATGCAAAGTGCGATATTTTCCTCTTACATTTCAGCTGCTGGTATTTCCTTCCGATTTTAAATATTCATGTTTATGAGATATAGAAATCTATGATAGAAATTACCACTTGATCTGTATGAAACAATATGGATTGTTTGTCCATACACAATGCGTATACTCATTTGCTTCACAATGACAAAGCTAAACGTGTGAATGAATGGGCCGAGGGTCGTTAGATACCATTATTCATTCAACGATACAATCCAAATTATCCAAACGGAAACAAGAAACTTTGTATTTTAAAAAATCTTATTTACCATGGCAAAGTTATATCTGAGTGCAGATTGATTAAATTGAGACACAAGCAAAATGTACATTTCTTCGTTTTGAATTTTTCATTCATTATTTACGCAAATGTCCTAAAAATAAATACGCTAGGCAAACATGAGAGCAACACTTTTCTCGTTTCCTAACTTGATCCACGTGGGTTAGGTGAGAGCGATAAGAATTCACAAAAGTTGTCACAGTAAACTCTGGAAACGGTAAAGAACATGTCAAATGAATGAATTAGACCTGTTTCAATCATACAATTTTCACAATTTCTGTCATTGTAACATCCAGTGTTTGGTCAAGTCACAAGACACAAGTTTAAAACTTCGTTCGACATATATAGATATATTTACGCTTCAAACCCAGCATATGTAGAATTTAAACAGAAAAATCATACTTGAATTTTAAACACTTGTTATTTTAGCTTGATTTGGGCATTTGATTTTCAACATGTTCAATGAATTTAAGATACGGCAACACGAATAATACATGTAATATATTCTATTAATCACATGCTGAAACATACGAACGGTATTAAGCAGTTAACTTCAATGGTGCGCCTATATCGTAACTGTAATAATGTGCGTTTTACCCTATGTTTGTATTTTGCAAATGACAACAAGCTGCAAATTATGTTTCTAAACATTTAACGTTTTATCGATGTAATTGTAAAGAAAAAGGGGAAAAATGATTATTTGGAAGTATTAAAATCATTAAAATAACATGAAAATTGCAGATTGTTTGATTTAGTCTGTACATGAGGGATGATGAAAACATGGGACCTCCCTCACGCCCCTAGCACCGATTGTAAAGAATTTTTTTAGTATTGCGTGCCCATAAGCTTGTTTTTACTAACATCATGCATTGATAAGAAAGAAACAACACACAAACAAGCCTAAAACAAGAAGAAACAAAAAAACATAACATGTAGTAATCTATGTTTAGTGGTTTTAACATTACCTTTGTTTGTATTTAGCACTATCGTGCATAAACAAGCCGAAAAAGAAAACTCAAGAATATGGCATGCTAATTTTATGCTTGACGATGTTTTTCAATGGTATCATTTTGACTATTTGCTCTGTTATTGATTTTTCAACTTCGTGAATGCCTATTTTCAACCTCTCGTTTTAGAAGTTTCAACAGGAATATTGTATCGTTTAAATTCCATAAAGCAAGTTTGTTCATGTTTTCACTATTTTAACATCTCAACTTCAATAAATCTTCATTTACAATTAACTGTTACATTTATATTATTATTTTATGATGACGGAACGGGATATTAAAATGAAAAGCATGATTAAAGTAACTATGTTATTTGTGAGATTGATTAGTGAGATATGACTACATATGTAAAAAACCATAAATGCAACATTAGATGTAAATAAAATGTAAACTATGCCATACTTTAGACTTTAATCAAGCGTTGTGTTTTTCAGATCTTAAATGTGATAATGTCAACTAAATAAAATGGCAGACAGATTTGCGCAGGTCATTACGTCACATGAATTCAAACACATGCCATTAGAGCATAACAGATACAAGATGGGTAGTCAATAAAAGGGAACAAAATCATTCTGTCTCCACGAACGGCGCTATTGAGTAAGACTACAAAGTGTTGGAGCACAACACTAAATGCTGTATTTTGGTATATACCCGACAACGATGAGGTAAAGATAAAACCATCCCTCTTTTAACTCCTGAAATGCGCACAAAATGTCTTATTCACCTGTTCACTCCCATTTATAAAAGATATTGAAAGAACTAGAGAACTTAAGTAGAAATTTAAAATAAAAACATTGAAGATGTATTCATGTTTTCACTCGACAGTCTTCTTCAATATGAACAACATATTTATGATATGAAACGAAAGTATATATTATGATTTATTATAATAATGTTAAAAATTTTCATTTTTAATTCTGAATCATTTTAATGTATTTGAAAGTCTCGTTTAATAATGAGTAATTACATATTTTTCTTCCACTTACTTTCCATTATGACAGGTGTCATAGATGCACGTTGACAGACGGCCTGAAAATGTATAGATATTTACTATCAGATGTATTTATCATGTAAAAATTAGCCATGATAAAGAACAAATATATTTAATTATGAACTATGACCATGCATGACTATATTAAATAGTTAAAACTAGCCTTATCCCCCATAACCACAACACATTAGGCAAGTTAGGGACACCTTGGGACGAAGAAAACCCCGAGACCTTTGGTGAAAGCCGCCGCCTGAAATAAAAGTAAGATATATAATCAACATGGAATAGATGACAATATATCATGTGCGCATGCATAAACATACCGTTTGAAATTTACATGTTCTAGTTATATCATTTTTTAAAATATAATTTCGATCATTAATTCAATAAATGATTCTGCTGGAACAAAAATGAAAATAATACTTATCATTAGGGACGTAAACAGTCCCGTCGGCGGACACAAAAGTTATCATTCATATGATAATTAAATGATAGCGATTCCGAAAATCGTTTGAGGTGTGGGCCATTTCAACAATGGAAGTAAGGCTTTTATGTTTACTGGTCAAAAATTTCCATCATTTCTTAATAACTTAAAATGATATTAGGCATAAATAAACGAGCTACTTCAAAGAAATCATTTTCTTCCCTCACTCTTCTTTGTTTTTGTTTTTTTATTTATTTATTTTATTATTTTTCTTTTGTTTTGTCGGTATATTATTATTACTCCACTCCATCCCAAAATTTACATTTACCTTTAAACGTAATTTAACGTAAAACTATAAGAACTTCATATCGATACTGTAAATGCTTTAATGACAACAGAATAAAACATTTCACTTTTTTAATGACCCTAAATAATCTATATTCAAAAACATACCTTTTGTCGTGAATGGGCCTAAATAATCTATAAACAAATATACTTATTTCCAGAAGATATGTAAACAAAAAGTGCTAATACAACAATTAACCATTCAAATATTTTTAAAGGATGTTAAAAAAGCTGTTAGATTTGTGGTATGTAAACATTTATACTACCCGTCCCATATCCGTTTGCAAACATGTTTCAATTTAGAAAAGGTCAAACGGCAGGAACAGCCTTTAAGGCAGGTTTCGCCTCGGATAAACATATTTATTTAATACTTTAGAAATGTCAACCATGTGTTTAATAATGTTTTACTTATGGATTAAAATGCATGTTAGATGTTTAACAGCTGAGGAAGGTACTGCTGACTGTGCAGATATGTGTCGTAAAGGTAGCAAAATGTAAACAAAAGAGTATTTTAACTTCCATACAAAATTAGTTTTCACTTTACTTATACAAATTGCCGACACAGCAAAGAAATCAAACATAGTTCATTGTTTTGGCAAATGTGTACTTGTTTAGAAGTTTTGTTTTAAACCTTTAAAATAAACCAGTTATAAACCATCCTGATGTTTGATGTGTATTCTCTCCTTCCTTTGATTTACTTGTGTCTTTAAACATTTTGTGAAATATAAAAAAATATCTTTTCTGAGACGTAATGGGCTCAATTTTTAATTTGTCGTCTGCGTTATAAATGCAGTAGCCTATAAAAAACAAAACGTCCCTGTTCAACAGATGCACATGTCAAAATAAATGTTAAGAACGATTCTAAGGATCCGGAATGGCCGGACATTTAAAGATTAAATTTACATCGATGTACTGGTCCTAATAAGAGGGTAATACACGGCAGGAGAGGGCCGGAAGGTGATAATCGGCCCGCAAAATGAATAATGGACCCGAGGGCTTTAGCCCGAGGGCCATTATTCGTTCAGGGCCGATTATCACCTTCCGGCCCTACTCTGACGTGTATTAATGTCTTTAAGACACTTGGTAGATCTAATAGTAGCATTTTTTTTAAAAAGAAAAAAAAAACAACAAATACTGTGAAGTTCTTTCGTTGAAATTCTTGTCTACAGTACTCTTCTACTGTTCTGTACAGAGATGTTTAGAGTCTACTGTTTGTGTGTTCAAAGCAGTAGAATCTAGAAGCAAGTTTTATTTTCATTTTTTTTTTCGGAATGAATTTGTCGTATTATTTCTTCAAATTTCAATAGTAACAAAAATGTATTTGTACTAAATACGCTTAAGCTCTCATAATTAAAATAAAGCGATTCGTGCTGACAACCTACTTTCACTTTTACAGTTAACTGTTTGATGACGTAAAATATGACGTCATTGTTTCAGTTTGTGAACGTGCACATGTTCTGCGGGCTGATAACTAGTTCTCAGCCCTGGGCCGCAAACTCATAATAGGTCACGTGACACTCATAATCAGTTGAAATCAATAGGCAATTTTGTTACTATATAAAGTAACAAGTGTATTAATGTATTAATAAATCGTCCGTAATATTTTACTCTCCCCCCCCCAAAAAAAAAAAAAATAAAATAAAATTATATATATTAAATATATGTATATAAAAAGTAAAAAAAAAATAAAAATAACCGAATTTGAATGTTTGATCCTTAATGTATTGTCCAATGTTTTATGCTGTAATTGTTAAATAACAAA